CCAATGTGCAGCTTATGGTGGCGCTAAAGGGAAAGTCCAGGGTTCACCAACGTCAGTAGGGTCCTAGTGACCACAGCTCGGCCGTTCCAGGTCTCTGGGCTTCAGTGTGAGTCCTGTGAGGACACGTGCAGAACTGCAGCTTGTTTTCATCCTGCCTGACATTCCACATAAACGCTGCATCAGTGGTCTGGAACATCTTGTCCCCGAACTACAGTAGCGAGGCAGATTCCACATATAGGCTGCAATACTGGTTGAAAAGTACATGTCTGGACTAGTGTGAGGCTTACATAAGAGCTTGGACGTAATCCCATCTGACGTGACTTGGCCTCGAAATAACATGGGAGGTACATCAGATGGAAGGAGGTCAGACGTTTGCCTGTGCGACTGATGACACACCGCAGCAACAACACAGGGTGTGAAGATGTGAAGAAGTGCTGCCAGGCAACGTCATCTGAAACAGCTTCAGTCAGACGGCATCATTATGTATACAGGTCGACTTATAGGCTCTTACACAACTCGGCGCGGTCGCATGTAGTGGCCATAAACTCTAGTTCACATGGGATGCTATTTATATCATGCATCTTTGCAAACTATGGGGCTATTGGGGTATTTACCACAACCAGGCTTTTATTTAGAACTGTCCTGTTTTACATTGAAATTTGATTCCATACATCATTAATAATCGTTTTATTTTACGCCTGCTCCCTTTTAAAGATGGCAAACTCAAGCTTTCCTTCATGTTCAGTTGTTTGTAGGCTTAATAATTTCAATATAATGTTGATTTCCACAGCATCAGTTCAATAATAGAGCAGAACCAAACTGGACTCAGCTCTCTGCTGCTCTGATTTGTTTCTGATCAAAGATACCAAAGTGCATTTACTCCTGTGTGGGAATTACATCCTATTGTGAGGTATTTGTTTTTAACTCTCATATTTCTGTTTTGTGCTGCTTTAAACTGTAGTTTTCTGACTACGAACAAATCATAATCTTTGTCTAAACATAACCTGGTGTCCATGGACATCATATTTTGGGTTATATTACCACAGTAGTAATTTTTAAAAAAATTTTTGGATTGCTTTAATTATTATTTTATTATATTTTACCTTTATTTTCATTTTTTATATTAAATTTTTTATATATATACTTTTCAAATATTTTAAATATTTTTTAGAAAATATGTTAAATATTTTTTAAATATATTTTTTATTTTATTTTATATTATATTTTATCTTATAGAAACAAATAAATGCATAAAAGAGCTCGGGTCTTAAGACGTTAAAACACACACAAATATTTATCAAAGTACATATTAAACTACAAGATTGGATTATTTTTTGCTGCAAAACAAGACGCTGCCAATGAACACAGTACTGATATGTTTAGTATCAGTGTATCTGTGACTCGTAAATCCTCAAAATGTCAACAAAGAGACATGCTGCAGATGCAGCTGCAGTCCTTCAGGACAGATTTGCTCTTCTGTTTTAAGGTAAAAAGGTTTCTTGTGTGCTATTTCTGTGTGCCATTAAATATATATATCATAGAAATGAATGTACCTGTAAATGAACAGGTCTGTGCCAACTGTTGTTTGAAGAACTCTTGTAAAACATGACGTAGCATCTGACAAGTGGAGAAAGTGAATAAAATGACAACAAAAGAGAAGCACATGTTCACACTGAAAAGCTGGAACAAGTGACTGGTTTTCACTGTAATCGTGTCTTAAATTTTTAATTAATCATCAAAATATGTATAAATTCACATGATTATGTTTGACAACAGATAAATAAAATGCAGCTTTTAACTCTAATATTTAATTGTCTTGTGTTTTCAATGCTCTCACTGGATCTTTAATTAAAGTTAAAACAATCTTCTTAACTGAATCAACATATCAAGAATCATCTGAGGTCCCTGTCGGTGTGGCAGCTGTCCCATAATCTGGCCCCGAACCAGAGATTTGAGCAGATGTTTGGTGACACACTTTTCTGAGAAATTCCTCGGTTGTTCTGGGCGTCGTACCGGGCGAGGACATCGTGTCTCATCAGCGTGTCATTCAAACGCCTGTCGTACTGCACATTGATAGAAAGGAAAACATCAGTCAGAGGCACGTCGGTTCATTTTGACAACAGAAACATCCTTCTCTGGTTGCTAGGTGTCGCCAAAAAAAAGAAAAAAAAGACTCTCCCTTGGCTTGAGTCACTCCAGTTACCGTATGTCATTTGAATGTTTGGGTTTTCTTTGTTGGTGTTTGTCTTCCAGATGTGCTTTCAACCTGTTTGTACATGTTGAGTTCTGTAATGTCTATTCCTTAATCTGTCTACACGCCTTATCTAGCGTCTTATACCTTCGCTGTGCTCGTCTTCCTCTGTTTTCCCAAAGTTGTTTGCAAGAATCACAACAAGTCTTCTGCTGTGGTCCACCCTGCAGGGTTCCCCCCCCACCGCCACCACCACCCACCAGCGTGTTCTGATATTTGCATGATTTGAACTCGGATCAAGAGCGCATTTCTGCCTAGCGTGTTATCAGAGTTTTCCCAGGAGGTTCAAAACGAAACGGCTCTTTGTTGTGCTTTCAACAGTCCCCTCCTTTCGCTTTTATCCTATCTTTCTCTTTCATTCTGCTTTATTTGATCTGGCGTGAACCGTGTTTGCTGCGAAAAGTCCCGTCTACTTCATTTACCGTATCCTCATTTTGAGGTTTTGTAGATTTAATATCAATCCTCCTGCCACCTGAGCCGGTGGGATTTTCCATTTCTTTTGCAGGTAATACCTGTTTGAATATGGTTGGAATGCATACACATGGAGATTCTATAAGCAGCCATCGTGTCAGTGTTGTATTCTCTTTATTTTATTATAGCCTTTGTAGATATAGAAGTAAATTCTGTGCACACAAATACTCCAAAGGAACATTTAAAACAATACATAATTTATTATAAGAAAGATGGCGACACTTGGAGTAATGCTGTCGTGGTATTTTCACTGAACCAAGCTGCTTTACTGCCCTCTCTGGTCAAAAGTTTTACAGTTACACCCAGTATTTTTCACTCTCCTCACCCTGACTGGGTGAGGCAGACGACGGCGCTCCCTGAGATTTCTTCCTGTTGAATGTACTTTTTGTTCTTCCTGCTCTTGCAGTGACACGTCGGATTTATTGGGTTCCTCTCCCTAATAAAATATTGTCTTGACTATCTTATGTAAGCACCCTCACATGACTTATGGTGAGCGTTGGATAAATATGTACTTTGGTGTGGTCAGAATTGTGCTCTACTGCAACCACATCCAGCAGTATTTTTATCGTGTCTTATACAACAAACATCTCTACTGCAAGGGAGAGAAGCTTAACCAGTGGAGCTCAGGAAAAACAAAATTATCACTTGGTGTTAAGCTGGTCTTTAAGTAGAAAACAATTCCCAGCAATCCAGTGTTTGACGTCCAGGGATTAATTACTGGAGTTTGATAGAAGGGTAAATCGGGATGTCGTCGGCGTATCAGTGAAGTTTTAAAAACGCAGTTTGAAAAATGTCTCTTAATGAGACTGTATGAAAGGAGAAAAGAATGGGGCCGAGTTATGGGCCTTGGGGAGCTCCGTACAAAAGTAGGAGCTTGTGTATTTGGAGTTATTAGGCCAAACAGTGCAGAGTCGGTTAGATATTAGGAAAACTAATTTATGCTGAATCAGAGACGTCTACCTAACACAGAGAGTTATTGATTTAATGCTAAAAACTGACTAACAGACCTGGTGCTCATGTTTATGCATGAAATATTTAAATGCTTTTGATGATTATGTGTTGATGTGACAGCTTTGCAAATGATCTCGTAAAATCTTACAATATGTGTTCCTTTTATAACCCGATTTGCAAAACAATGATGTTGCTCGCTGCTAACTTTAATTTGCTATTTTAACTACAGTCTTTAGCACAAACGTTAGCATCTCATAGTTTGTTCTGTCTTGTTAGGGCAAAGCACAAACATTTCCTTCTTTAAACTCTGTGCTATGGGCCCCATTTCTATGACAGTGTTTGATTTAAGTGATCCTACTCTCCTGTTTGGAAGCAATTTAGCCAGCTTGCATCATCATGAATGACTAAGAACTTCTATCTTCACAATTCATGGTTGCAAGTTATCTTACATGTAAGCTCCAGAAACTCTGCTTCACTTTAGTAAATTATATTAATTGGCCAAATGCCTGAGAACTTCTGAGAAACGCTCTTCTGAGAAGCACAATCTGAATTTGCGTTCATTTAAATGTACTTTTCCACTCCTGCGTGTCGAACCCTGATAGATCTTCTCCTGCATATTTCAGACCGTATCAGCTCAAAGCAGCCGTTGAACTGCGTCTGCATTACCTCAGCCTGCTCTCACGTTGCCGTAATGTTTTCTCCGTGTGCTGGCCTCCGTCCCCACCAGCCTTCCACCTCCCCTGCCCCCCCTCGGCCGTCTCAGGCTGCGTGTGTGGTTTGGATTCCTGCCCAAGGACTATTCAGATGTGGAGAACAAGGCCCCCCAGTGTGCTCTGTTTTCCACATTCCTCGGCCTTGACATCACCCGGACTGCAGGAAAGGACGCTGCCTCAATAGCGGAGTGGCTGTGTGCGGGAAGAGGCCCCCCCTGACCCCGGCAGTCTGGCTGGCGGACCTCGGCAGCGTGGGGGCCCCCGCCATCTCTGACAGCAGAAGCCCCCCACAACAATGCAATCAAAGGGATGCTTTACATACCACATGTTGTTTTGCGGTATAAATTAGACGGCGATGCCCGGCGATCGTTAAGATGGATTATCCCCCCGTAGACGGGCCATATGGAAATTTAGGTCACATGCTGAATGTAAATATTATGCTTTGCAAAATTGCAGCATGAGACTCGACTGATGGCTTGTTTGAAATTTTGTTTTGTGGCCTGTAGCGGTGCTGCTCTGGCTAGACTTCATAATCATCTTATGAATACACAATGACAGCTTGGCAGCATGCGCGTCTTATTGTGCGCGTATACGTTAGCATGTAACATTTAGATTTCTCTTCCCAAGTGTTGCTTCCTCTCTTTCTTTGTCCCGTTCTGTCCCTGTGAACTTCTGATTGGCTAATTGGAGTGAGTAAAGATCCCTCGACAACAGGAGATCAAGCATTTTTCTCTCTGTTGATGTTTGAATGAGCTGTTAACACCCCCACTGACAGAAAATAGAGACATGTAAGGTTTGGGGTATTCTGCACGTTTTCAGAAAAGCTTTTTGTTGGACTTGATTCACTTTGAGGCCTCCTCGAAGGCCACTTTGGAGATGACGTGATGATGTGTTTTTCCCGTCAGTAGAGGTTAGTTCAGAACACATTTCTTTGATTATTTCCACTTATTTGGTAAAACTGCTCCGTTTAACCCGCTCATTAAACTGTCTAAGCTCGTCTTTATTTCTCATGTATACAGGAAAGCCAGAATTACTTCATCAATAACTGTTTTCTGAACAAAAGTTGAACTTTCTCAGCATCTATGGACATCTAAAAATGATTTAAGTTTAGTGTTTCATACACAAAATATGCAAAATAATAACATAAAGACATGATAAATGGCACGATAGCAGCCATACGATGATGAACCTGCAGGCTCGTTGAGGTTCTGGGTTCAAATCCCAGACGAGCCTTTGATTTTTGAAGTTAAAGTTCCATCCGTAAACAGTGGTATAACCCACTTGCATCTTGATTGATATTTGGTGGTGGTGGTGGCTCAGCGGTTAAAGGGTATTGATCAGGGGTCTCGAACTCCGGTCCTCGAGGGCCGCAATCCTGCAAGTTTTAGATGTTTCCTTCTTCCAACACATCTGATTCACATGATCAGGATCGTTATCAGGCTTCTGCAGAGCTTGATGATGAGCTGATCATTTGAATCAGGTGTGTTGGAAGAGGGACACATCTAAAACTTGCAGGATTGCGGCCCTCGAGGACTGGAGTTCGAGACCCCTAGTATTGATCAAACCCACACACCACCGAGGTACCGCTGTTGAGCTCTTGTGCAAGGTGTTACGTGTTCTGCCTCTCCTTCCCCCTCCTTTGTGTTTCATTCCCAGGTGCTAATGACCTGATTGGGATCCACCTGGAAAGCTGCCTTCCACCTGTCGAGCTGGCCAATCAGAGGTGGTGTTGCTGCAGCTTAAAACCAGGCCTGTTGTCAGATCAGGGGTTTGCTTTGTTGCTTTGTCTGTGAGACTTGTGTTTTGTTTGCTGTCATCTTTGATTCTGTGGTGGTGAGATTGGGACTTTAGATAAGTTGGGTACCCTACATTAAGGACATTTTGTTGGACGCTCCAGGGTTATTGGTTGGTGCCACCTGTGTATTTATTTCAAAGCTCTGTTTGTAGAGAAATTGGTTCGGTCTTTTGAATGGGTTTGTTTTGTGATATATAAGGAGTTAGTCAGGCCTTGTTTGTTTTCTTATTTTTAATTATTTAGCACCACCTCTTCCTCCCGTCTCTTTTGTGAGCCTTTGTTGCACATTTTTGTTGAAGCACTGTTAAAATAAAATTCTAATTTTATTCACACCTCGCAATGAACAGTGAACTTTCCCCACTGTGGGATCAATAAAGTTATCTTTATCTTTAATGACTCCTGCATATCTTTTGGTTGTTGTGTTGCTCTCATGTTAAGAGGCGACGTACAAAGACAAAGATTCTTTGTTTGGAAGCTGGATTTTTAATGTGCTGGTGTTTAAACACCCTTCAACATCCACCCACCTTTTGAAATAGATCCTTCTAAGTTAAAACAGTATTTTACTGTGTCTTTGATTGTTTGACAATTACAATGAATGTAGACACAGGATTTTAAATGGCTTGTTAGAAAAAAAACGATGTCATTGAGGTTCTAATTCTTTAAGTTATTGTTTATGCTCTTTATTATGACAGGATTTGAAAATGAGCACAATGAATAAACGGATCAAACTAATATCAGATTTGTTTTTAGTACATTAGCAGTTTGCCACAGTCTTTAGTTTCACATTTACTCAGGGTACTTTCCATGAAATCACACAAGAGACCCGATGAGTTTGATCAGTGGTTAAGCAGAGGAATCATCGCCACTAATGGAAGAAACATGCACTTAATGTTCATCAGTTGTACTCTAAGGTCAGTGTTTCTCCTTGCATGTACCCTGATCTTATTTTATCTCTGATAAGGCAGCCTGCATGCAAGTTCTCAGACAAAGAAAAATCACCCTGAGCTCAGCGCTGGGAGGGAGCTGCTCCAGAATCCAAGGTTGTTTATTTACATTCCTCGGTGCGCCGAGGACGAAATATTTTTAGGTCCAACGCCAAAGTGAATGCAACAATAAGTCAGAGTCGAAGAGAAACATCATCGGCAGGATTCTTGTGCTGCTGCAGTAAAGTGCCACATTTAATTTAAAGTACGTTTTGTTTTTTTTATTTTATTTCTGGAAGGCGTCTTTCAATTTTTAGGTTTCTGGCCTCATCTTGAATTTTTTCCACATGCAGTCATTCGATGAGCTATTCAAGCTCACGTCCAGCCTCCACCAGCAGATGCAGGCTTGTGTCGGGTTTCCCGCAAGCAGAAGGCAAAACCGTGTGAGTGTGTGAGTGTGTGAGTGTGTGAGTGTGTGTGTGTGTGTGTGAGTGTCTGGGTGGGAGGGCGAGTGGGTGCCTGGAGAGAGAGAAGGCGTGGAAGCGTGGGAGGAGGAGACATCAAAGACAGGGGAAATCGGATCCCCTCTCTCCACAAAGCAGGCCAGAGGGTTCAGAGACAAAGGAAACGCGATCCGCCATGTGACCGTGAACGCCGTGCATGCCTCCCCCCGTCTGGCTCCATTCAGCTTTTCACTCATTCAACTTTGTCAGGCCCCACTGCCACAACAAGAAACTGTTCCTTCAGAGTATTTTTGTGGCGTCTTCATTTTGTGGGGCGACTTGTGGGATCTGTTATGAGGGATTTCTTTTATTTCACTGCTGCTCATGTTGCATACATGTGTTCACACTGTAACGCTGTGGGCACAAGCCATCGCTTCAAAGACTAAAAAAAAAAGAAAAGCAAGTCCCATAAGATAACTCATTAGGGGCTGGCTGGCAAAGAAATTAGAGAAAACCACCGAGGAAAACGCATGTCGTCATAGCCTGTGGTGTCTGCGTTGGTGTTTGGGGTTGTTTGCGGGTTACGTCCATTGTTTCCTTCTTTTGAATTGTTTTTCATCAGTCTTTGTGCAGAGCGTGTTCCTGGGGATTTCTCTCCGTATTGTCCATGAATGCAGCATTCAAGGTTCAGCTGTCAAGACATCCACATCCTGAAAGGTTTCCATGATTGTTTCCAACCACACAATGTTCACAAAGGCTAACTTTAGCTTGCTTACGCTAACACGCCTGACCAATGTTAGCAGG